TCTCTCTTCAAATGGTGTGTGTCTGCCTCAGAAACTACAAACTCATATCATCATTTTTCTACTTGCTTACCTTCTCTTTGGATGAAAGAAATAATTTGAAATATGGACAAAAATAAAATTTAAAAGTTAACATCTAATTGCCTTGTTTGAATTCATGAAACATAGAAATATTGAACTTTTGTGTGAAAAAATTGGAAATTTTGACCTCCAGCTTCCAAGTCTAAATTCATCTTCTAGGATTCCATGAGTGAGAGTTAAAAAAATAAAAAAAATAAAAAATAAAAGAAAAGAAGCTCAACCATGAGTGGCCACACTACCTTTTCCACTACCATTGGCGTTGCCACCACCACCCGCTACAGTCTAAACTAGTAGCGCAGTCCCAACCACCACGACTCACCATCATTATCACCACTGTTGCGGCCACCACTAACCACGATCACGCATTTTAAAATCCCAAGAAATGCCCCTCTTTTTTTTGGGTTTCCAAAATAAAACAATTTATTTCTAGAGATAAAATAGTAATTAACAACATTTTGAATGAAAAACAATAATATCTAAAATAAGTAAAACTAAAAAAAAAAAGTAAAACATTAGAAAAGAGTCGATTGCAATATGTGTAAGCGTGTGACAAAAAACTAGTAAATAGTAATGGCCCAAGTACTACCCTTCCCTCTTGCCATTGCAATGGATGGAAGTGCTCTTACGTACACCCATCAAACTCATCATGCCGTGTTTATTATTTCCACGTTATACATGCTATTCATGCTCTTACACTCATCATGGCCTCTTCAAATTTTCCACGTTATTCATACTATCTAATACTGTTCATACTATTCATGATATATTAACTTCTCACTCTCAAACACGCAGTGTATGTGGCATCCTATCTTTTCTAGAAGAAAAGACATCTCTCACGCTATGTTTATTAGAAAACAGTTTTCCACGTTTAATTGAATATCGACGACTATTCTACTTTCTCAACTTGTTTTCTGTGTTTTGGTGAAGGTTCCTCCCAACTTCTAGTTCGTGGAACGAACTTATATATATTTTGCCAACTCACAGTTCCTCCCACCAAAATATTCCACCAGTTTAAGGCAGCTCAATCATCATCGTACTACTTCAAGTGCTTCTACTTTCAATTCAAAGCATTTTTGAAAATTTTGTCAAACAACCATTTTTCACAACCGAAGTGCTTTTATTTCATAAGAAAGCATTTTCAACTCTTTAAAAAGTACATTCAAACGAACCCTAATAAGAATGGCTACTTTTCTCAGATATACTAATACTTCTGTTACTGGCTTTCAACTTAAGAATCCTCAAAACCCATTCTATCTCCATTCTCATTCTCAAACACGTACCCTCTCAATCCAAAAAAGACTTGTAACCCCAATGGCTGCTCTCAGCATTACCCCTACCACCAACATCTCACACACATTTAGAAAACTCAAGGACCAAGGCAAAGTGGCATTTATCCCCTACATCACCGCCGGCGATCCTGATCTTTCAACCACGGCTCAAGCTTTGAAGATGCTCGATTCTTGCGGATCAGACGTGATCGAATTAGGCGTACCATTCTCGGATCCAATACAAGACGGTCCAGTTATTCAGGCTTCAGCCACACGTTCCTTGGCAAGGGGGACGAATTTCAACGCAATTATGTCAATGTTGAAGGAGGTGGTGCCACAATTGTCTTGTCCAATTGTTCTATTTTCGTACCTCAACCCGATTCTTAACCATGGTGTTGAAAAGTTCATGCACAACATTATGGACGTTGGGGTACATGGGCTTGTGGTTCCAGACGCTCCATTTGAAGTGACAGAAAGTTTGAGACAAGAAGCTGTGAAAAATAAGATAGAGTTGGCTCTACTAACTACACCAACTACTCCAACGGATCGAATGAAAGACATTGTTGAAGCTTCAGAAGGGTTTGTATACCTTGTGAGCTCCGTGGGAGTTACCGGTGTACGTGAATCGGTGAATGAACAAGTTCCAACCCTTTTAAGGGAAATTAGAGAGGCGACAAGCAAGCCTGTGGCAGTTGGCTTTGGGCTATCAAAGCCTGAACACTTGAAGAAAGTAGCCGAGTGGGGAGCTGATGGTGTTATTGTTGGTAGTGCCATTGTGAAGGTGTTGGGTGAAGCTAAATGTCCCAAGGAAGGGTTAAGAGAACTTGAAACTTTCATCAAATCTTTGAAATCTGCATTATTGTAAAGAAAGAAACAGTACTAGGGGGCAGTGACCTTATTAATTGTTGTACTATTGTAATGTACCGTGTGGGATTAATTTTATTGTGTTGGAATATATGGGGTATTTTATGTCTTAGGTTATTTTTTAGGATTAACAATTTTAGACGACCCTTAGCCTCATCCCTCTCCCTTTTGTTTGGGTTTTTGGTTCTACATGTAGGGGTTTGTTTTGGCAGTTCAGATTTGTTGGTTCTTCTCTGGTATGACGATTTTGGTGGTGATTTTTGGTTGGGGGTTTTTCCTTGTTGCTTGTTAATTTGTGGTGCGATCCCTTCGTCGAATTCAACACAAAGTTGATTTTCTTTGGACGATTACCTGTGTGGTTGCTAGCGAGCTGATGGCACTGGCAGCGGTCAGCCTTTATGTCTGCCTTTTTGCTTAATGGGCTTTGGCTATCTTCACTTTATTGGGCTAGTTTTTTTTTTTTGTTTTTTTTTTGTTTTTTTTTTGGTATTAGGTCTTTCTCATACAATGAATTTGCATGTCCTTTTATCTTAGAAAAAAACAAAAAAAATTTATAGCAAGGTGTATAATCTTTTCGAATTACGTATTATTTATAATTTTGTAATCCATTAATTAATCTGTTTTACGTATTTTAATTTTTAAGATGGTACCAGAGCAAATTAAATCCTTCGAATTTAATCTGCTCTTGCTTGGTATCAATTTGTCCATCGGTTCTACGTCTCTTTGTCCATGGGAATTGTTATTTGGGTTGAGACGCCTTAGTTGTCGTTGAAAACTAGGTTACAGAAAACGTTGAAAATCTGAAGCCGTAGTCCGCAGTCCTAAAGCCTGCAGTCCCGTGAAGTCTTAACCTGAAGACCAGGTATGACATGGGCTGCTGATTACGTGCAACTCGGAAATCAAGGGGAAGAGGCACTGGTTGGTTTTGGGGCTCATATTGGCGACATGATAAGGATTGCTACTTTTGGGCATATATGTTAGAGGCTTTTGAACTTTAATCCTTCAAGTAGGTTAAAATTTAATAAAAATTAGTATTAGATTGAATATTGATTTTAGTCTCTTAATGTGTACTTAATTCAAATTCATATTATATTTTTTTTATTATTTAATAGATAACTTATTTAATGTTATTATTAATTTTATTTAACTTTTTCTAATTGGTGTACCTAAACGTCTGTATCATAATATATTTTACTAAATTAGTGTATCAAAATGTCATTACCTAAATATATTGTAATGAATTAGTGATACATAAGAAAATATGTAAAAACATAAGTGTACTAAAAATTTCATACCTAACTATATGATACTAAACTAGTGTACCGAAATGTCGGTACCTAAATATATTATACTAAACTAGTGTACCGATATGTCCATAACTAAACATATTATACTAACCCAATGTACCGAAATGTTCGTACCTAAATATATTATAATGAATTAGTGGCAGATAAGAAAATATGCAAAAACATAAGTGTACCGAAAAATCTGTATGAAAATATTCTCTTATATAAGATGCTTACCATAATGAGAATTAAAATTTATAATATTTTCATAAAATTATAAATAAAAAGAGACATTGAATACATATGTTGGCATTAAATAAGTTTAGGAACTAAAATCAATTTTTAATCTTGTATTAGACATTTTTCTAAATTTCATCTTATTTAGGGATTAAAATTTAGTTTTCTATATATAGTATGTCATGTTGTTGCCCACCACAAAGTCACTAGAGTACTTGGACTGGTAGCCAAACCACTCAAGAAGTTTCTAACGTTGCGTATATGGTAATACTTTTAGTTGTTTGTGTTGTAGTTGGAATATGACAAACTTGTTCATTTAGGGACGCGGGGGATTCATATGTTTCTTTTCAAAGACCACAACATCAACATATGCATTTATTTTCATCTGGAATTTGAAGTTTGTATTGGCACTAGTATTCACCTTGGTATTGTAATCTTGCACTGGCACCAGTGGAATTTTGTATTAGCATTGAAAGTTATCATAAGTTTTCTTCTTGGCAAACTCATGTTGTTTATAATCATGAGTTTAACAGGGGGTGCTGAAACAATCAACTCGTTAGCACTTTGGTTTATTATTGTGTTAGGGTATTTTTGACTTAGGGTTTTCTCATAGGGTAAAGATTTGGATTCCTTGCTTATTAGGGTTAGGATTAGTTCTTTATTATAAGATGTTAGTAACTCGGCTAGAATAAGTCTTGCAAGATTTAGTTTCTTCGAGTTTATGTAATATTTTGGCAACTAAGTATTAGAAGACTTTGGATGCAGTCCTTAGCTATCAATGTTCTTTGACTGACCTTTTTAGTTTTCAGTTTTTAATCAAAGTCCTTGACAATAATGTAATAATGTATAGGTTATTATATTTTTTAAACTAAAAATTGAAATTGAAATTGTTTGAAATTAGGTTTTTTTTTTTTTACACAATTGTAACTTAACTATAATTTGCATCCAGTCCGTCGAGTTCAATCCAACGGTTTATATTTAGATGTGAAAATAGAAACATTGTACAAAACTTGCTCAATTTGTATCTATGAGGCTTTCTCTAGTGCACATTAAGTTACACATATAAATAAGAGTCTGTAGATAATTTAATCTAATAGAATATGACGGCTTTTGTTTAGATGAATTTATTGTATTTACACCGTATAAGATCTGTCAAAACTACCAGAGTGAATTGGGCCAACCCATCAATGAGAAGGTGCATTGGGCCAACTGAAAGTGAAATTCTGGGGTTTTTGCTGGTATCCTTAAATCGGATAAATCTTAGATCTTTCTTATTAACTCTATCCTCTGAAACACCTCCCTCCGTCTGCAACTGCAAACCATAAACAACTTCCAAGCTCTCGTCGAGAAGCACCTCCTCTCTCTCTCTCCAACTTCCTCACATTCATATATCCCCCAGTTCAAATTCAAGCTCCAAAATTTGCAGCCAGGTTCGTTTTGCTCTTCGTTTTTTAATTATTTCGTGATTTTTTTCCTTCTTTCTCCATATTCTGCTCTTACCAAGCTTGTCTTTTATTTTTATTTTTATTTTGTGTGTATTTCTTTTCTGCTTAAGCTTATAGTTAGTGAAGAATATATTAATTAGAGGAAACAAGAACAAATAATCTCAGAATTTAGCCAACTGGGGTATTAAAAATGTTGAAACTTGGCCAGTTAATGAAGTGCTAAGTGGTTTTTGATTCAAACCCATTGCTAACCATACTTCTAATTTGTGTTTTGGATGTTTAGGTCAATGTGGTATGCTGTCTCTGCCCCAAACTATTGCATATCGTATCCGAGAAGACCTTGCAGCCCTCCTTCTCTAAGGAAGTATTCGGTTTCCACAAGTTTTCGCGTGAAAGCTTCCTTACCGGATAATACCAATGGCGCTAAAGTGGAGTACACTCCTTGGCTGATTGTTGGATTGGGTAACCCTGGCAACAAGTACCATGGGACTAGGCACAATGTAATATTCCACCCTTATAAACTAGTTTAAGTGTTTCGGTTGAATTCTTTTTCATTACCCTTTTTTTCCTGTGGGTTTTGTACACCAGATTGGTTTCGAGATGATTGATGGTATTGCTAAAGCAGAAGGCATTGCGATGAATACAATACAGTCGAAGGCCTTGATTGGAATAGGTGGGTCTTCAGTGGTATTTTAAGTGTTTCGATTCCACATTTTCATGTGTTTTGGTGTTCATTTAGATTCTTCTCTGTGATCAGTACAGGCTCCATTGGAGAAGTACCAATTTTGTTGGTGAAGCCTCAAGCCTACATGAATTATAGCGGAGAATCGGTGTGTTCTCATCGTTTCTGTCTGCTTTTTTTGGTGTCAATTTTGGCTCACATAACTGTTATACACTCCACTACCCATAAGTGTTCTATGATAACTTTGTATTACTTATATCCTAAACTCTGTGACGTCCCAACGAAAGTGACAGGATACTCTATACTGGACAGACCATTAGACTGAGAATCCATAATGTAAATTTCTGTTGCACCTAATGGAAGGGTTCAAGTAAACTTCAAAAGGATCTTTCATTTAGTATCATTATTCCTATTTTCCTCAATGCTGCAATCAGTTTTTGATGGAAGAAGAGCTGTGTTTCATGAAATACTGTCTTCCAGGAATATGTAAAAGTAATAATGATTAATTAGCTCCAGAGTGTGCTTTCTGCAATTGATTACAATCATTTACCAATCACTCACGTAGAATTTAACCTGGCTATGAACTAAGCAATGGTGATTTCTATATCATTACATGTTTGAAAATTTCAAACCATATCTTTCATTGTGGTGTGTAATCAGATGATTGACATTTTTGAGCTCATGAAAGATTATAATACTGTGATCAATTTTGTTGGCAAAATGGGATAACGTGATGAAGCAATGTGCCATTTTCATTAATATTTTTCTTCATGTTCATGTTTATGGGTGCACTTTTGCCAAAATATCCATGAGCATCATAGTATGTATCTCCTTTTCTTTAGTTGAATGAGTAAATGCCAGTGTGATTAGAGCTACCTTACGATTGCATTTTTCCATCATTTATTCTCCTTTCATTATTCTTAAGGTTGGACCACTTGCGGCATATTATCAAGTACCCCTACGCCATATTTTACTGGTATGCCTTTTTTGTATCTTAATGTCGGCTTTACAAGATTAATAAATTCCTTTCTTTAATTTAGTTCATCAAGTTCAATGTCGCATTACATAAATGGGAGCCATGGACTTGTAGGTTTATGATGAGATGAGCTTACCAAATGGTGTTCTGAGGATTCAGCCAAAAGGTGGACATGGCTATCACAATGGGTATGTGTGAATATTAATTTTGAACAGAATTCATATGAAAATTTATCTATCACTTTCGTATGTTCTTGAATAAATATGTTTTCAAAATCAAGAAAAAGTAGTTTGATTCTTTTATCTCTTAACGATGCATAATGTTAGTTTGTCCAACTAGTTTCTGACTTAGAATTGAAGATTCTACAACTGACCTACTAAATGAGGTGGATTCTATAGTAAATTATATCTTCTGTGGTATGTTCTAATTGATGTCTTTCACGAGAGCTGCTAAATTAACTGTGTTGACATTCCTAATGAACAAGTTTTAAAGACATTTTCTCAATTTTTGCAATCTGTATCCTGTGAAGGTACGTTTGCACGAATGCTTTCTGTATAGTCCATTGTTAGTAAGTTTTCATGTACCATTGTGATTAAGTTCCATGCTTATTAAAAAGGATATGGAGCAGGAATCTTACTAGATTCAATTAGAGGTGTATTAGTGGTGATGTCATAAGAAGAAGTAAAGTAAGGGGTTTGAGGTTCTTAGTGTTGGCTGAATAGCAAGTGGATGAAGAAACACCCTGTTCGTGTCCAGATTCCGAACTAGAAATTAAATAAACATTATACTGATTCTAGAAAGGGATACTTCAGTCTCATATTTTAGCTACCCATACTTAATTTGACGGGTTTGACAGTTTGGCTACAGAAAACCGAGATTTTCCTGTAGATTGTTTAGTTGTTTACCTTTAAGCCTTTATTTCCTTGCAAAAGCAAGGGGTAACTATGCATCACTTTGGTTTTTTTGGTTTCAACTATGCATCACTTTTCCTTGATATGCTTAGAAAAAAAGAAAAAGCCAATCTGGCTCGGATGATTTAGTATAGAAGGAAGCAAAGACTATACATAGTCTTTCCGGGGTTGTTTGTTTGAAATCTTCTCAAAACAAATCTTTCCCTTTTCCATACAGTTAGAGCTTTAAAAGTCCAAATGAATTTCAATTGCTCTTCTCAGAATCTTGTAGAAAAATGGAAGAGTCGGGGCGCACTCAAAGTTGTTGATATGTGTGCTACTCGGTTTTATGTGAATTTGTGGTTAGGTGAAGTTATAGACTGGAGGTTGTTTGATAACATTGGAAGTGACAACAGTAACATTTTATCTGTGTCTCAGAAAAATTGTGCTTAGCGTGGATCATTTGAAAGTCAAACTCTTCTCTAGCTTGTTAGCGTTGCATATTTTCCTGTCCTTATTAAACCACTACTTTTTTATCTGCCATTTACGTTCCCTGATTCTTGTTTACCCAATGCTTGGCCATGAAGAAAGGAAAAGATTTAACCCAACTTGTACTGCCCCTAACCAAAATTACATTTTGTTCTTATTAGCTTTCTCTTGGTAAGCAAACGCAAAAAATATTAGTACTTCTGTTTCTTTTGTTTCTTCCTCTTTTTCTCTCTTATTTTCTCTGCTCTCTAGTTGAAAGCATACGGAAGGCAGGAAGGAAAGAATATAATTATGAACAACTTGAACTTAATTGTCTTGTGACACATTCTTTTAGAAATGCTGATCCACGTAACTCCATATCAGGCAATACAAAATTGATTAATAACGTGTCTGCTGAATCCCGCTCCTCTCATGTTCCAAACTTTTTTATAACTGCTTTCTCCTTGTTGCAGTGTAAAAAGTGTAATGGGCCATCTGGACGGTTGCCGTGAATTTCCTCGGCTGTGTGTAGGTTTGTTTCTTCAGTACTATTTTCAACCGATGGTTAGGTGTCTTAGTCCAAAAGGGTCTATACTTGCCTTAATTGGAAACTAAAAGAGGAGTATTAATTATGTTTCAGGTATTGGAAATCCACCTGGAACTATGGACATGAAAGCCTATCTTCTACAGAGATTCAGTACAGTCGAGAGACATCAGGTATATCGTTGTTTCTAAATAGTTCTTACTCATGGTATTAAGGAAATTCATTGATCACTTAAATGGTCAGAAAATATTTGCTTGCACGCACGCTCGCCATGCACATTCAAATGTTCACGCATCTGCAATTTACGTTGTCTGTTCACTTCAATCAGTGTGAATTTCAACCTGTAATATCAATTTTGACCGATATCTGCTATATATGTGAACAGATTGATGCAGCACTGGATCAAGGGGTTGAAGCTGTAAGGACCCTGGTGCTGAATGGATTTGACCAGAGCATCACTAGTTTTAATTTGAGGCAGAAATACAAATATCACAAAGTGTAATTTGCACAAATCCTTTTGTGTGTCACATTTTTCTTCTGAAACAGGTTTGTAATCTGCATAATATTGATGCCATGGCACCTTAGATTTTCACGTCGTGTATTGATAGTTAAAAGCGACTCATCTTGCCTTCTTGACCGATGTTTTGAGTCCCTTTTGCCCCCTCTGTCAAGTTTACCATCAGCTCCGTTAAGTACGCTGGCATGGTATAATTGGAATCAACACTTGAATTATTCGCATCTTTCCGTTAATTAATTTCCAGTTTCTCTGCCGCCGGCCCGCCGCCGTTCTCGGAAGGATACTGTAAAAAACTGGAGTTCTTGCGACGGCACAGACAACACAGATATGGGTTGCTTGAGATATAGTTAATTTCAGGCATTAGCAGTCAGTAGTGAGGAGTTCCTCTGTTGAAGCCGAAAGGTTTCAATTTTGTTAATTTGACAGCCCCTAGGTTTATGGTGGTTTTCAAAGCGGCCCACAAAGTTTTATATTTTTTATATAGGTTTTAAAATTGTATTAATTATTTTTTTTTCTAATAAATTATTTGAATATTCATTAAATAGATGATATTGTAAGCGTGACATTCAAAATTGATTTAACATGTAAGTCATATTTGCAACACATTAACAAAAAAGAAACTCATCAATTCAATTCAATGGGAAAGTAAACGTTCAAAGAGACAAAAAGTATAAATTAATAAAATTTTAAAACATCATGGTGCAGTATAAAAAAAAAATTAAAACCTCATAATCCATCTTACAAATCACCTCAAATAAACTAAAATACAATTAGCCTTTTTTTTCTTTTTTTTTCAAACGATAGGTTTTGTTAAATTAATCACTAACGGAGTTCGAACTCACGCCGTCATGCAAAGACTCAACTTCGTTCTACCACTATGATAAATGATCATTTGCTACAATTAGCCCTATGAATATCACACATTCGCACCAAGCAAATCTCCGGCTCATTGTTTACAATATTTGACCAATGGAGGCATAACGGGCCTCCAAGTGGAAACCTTACAAATCTCCGGCTTGTCTAAAGATCCTAAAAAGTCCTTCCCCACTACAGAAAGAGAGAGAACTTTTTTGGAAAGTCATATCATCCTACGGCAATCTATGACCAACAATAAAAAGATCAACGGCTCTGGAAAAACCATCACGGAAAATCAGTCAAATCGGACCGTCGATAGGGTATCCAAAGCGATTTTAAAATCCGAACGTTGGGAAGCAAGAAAAAGAGTAACCAAAAGGGAACACAGTCACCGTCTTTTCTGTCTTTCCATTTATCGACCGTTGCAAATCCAAAATTTTCAATTGCAAAGTAAGTAAAACCCAGATCACAAACTACAAATGCCATTATTGAATCACCAACAAAAACTCAAATCTCTCTCTCCGCACACTGATTGAGATTCTAGAGAGGGAAAGAAGACGAAAGAAGAAAACAAAACTTAGCTGGGACCTCCAATTCTTCAACAATGGCAGAGACTAACGGCTCTCTGCAGCAAACCAACCAACAAAACCCAGCTTTTCAATCTCTCTTCCAAGCCATCGACCCCATCTCTCTCATTCTTTCCCAGAACCCTACCCTAGATCAACATCCAGTCCCCCTGAGGTTCGCCACCGAGAGCTACCCCATGGAGAGAGGACCCAGATACACAGCCTACGCGGAACTCAGAGAGTCGCGGCTAAAGAGGAAGTACATGAGCCCAGAGGAGCTCGAAGAACCCGAATCGAAATCGACCCCATCGAAGAAACAAGTCAAGTTTCAGACCCATCTGACCAATTCGCGAAAAGGGTCTTCCGTTCTCGCTCAATCGGTGCCCGACTTCTCAGCCGTGTTGCGAAAGGAGAACCGTAAGCCACCGTCGAGGCTTCCGTCGTTGCAGGAGATGACCCCGCCGGCGAAGAGTTCGGCCAAAGCGGCGAACGGGGTTTTGTCGAATTCGAGAGGGAGCAAGTCGGCAAGCGCGGGGGAGAAGAGGTACAACAATGGCGGAGGGGTCATGGCGAGGAAGAGCTACGCGAGTATGGAGGAGTTGAAGGGGTTGTCGACCGCCGCCGCTAATGCTATTAGCGGCGAAAACAGGGGCGGAAGGAAGGCCAATGGCAATGGCAGAGCAATGCCAAAGACTGTTTTGGGATACAGACAGTTCTGAAAGTTCGGTGCTTTTTGGGTTTTTTTTGTCTCGATTCATTCTTTCATTGCTGAATATTTTGCTTGAGGTTTTATGACCTGGGAATTTGATTACCACTTAAAATTCTTCTTTTTTTTTTTTTTTTTAATTTGTTTCGGAATGTAACTAGTAAATGATAAAGTTTGATGGATTTTTCTTCCCTTAATTCTCTTTCAATATTTATCATCCGAAGGTTAAGAAAATCAAAAGAAAAGAGTGAAAACATCTTCTCTACTCGTATTTAGCCAATTACAAACGATATATTGCATTAATCTATACTAAGGTGAGGGGAGAGAGTTCGAACCCGAAATGCAATAGGTTGAAGAGAGAGGCAGCAACTTCCGGGACAACCCACCAGTTGCGCATATCATCAGTTGGAGTGCAAAAGGTTGCTTTAACTTTTATACAACTCAATTTTACTTGACACTCTCAAACGGGAAAAAAAATAAAATTACCGTGAAATCTTCTTGCATATCCTCGTAACTGATCTTAAAGTTGAACTAAGCCTTCCATTGATTTGTACAAAAGAATACATTTGCTTGGTTTAACAGACAGAATTTAACATGTGACATGGCTGATCAAAGACCATACGAACTCAAAAAATGGTAGCTAGAGTTTACATGAATTTCAAAAGGAACCCAGCAGCTGGCACTCAAAGAAGTCGATCACAACTTCATCAACCAAACTTTGAAGAATGTCTCCGTCAATTTTAGAACCGATCTCAAAAGCTTCGGTATTAAAATCTGTCCACTTACCCAGGGAATGACTCATGTCCCATTCTATCAACTCATCAGGAATCATTCCAGCCAAATCCGTCCACTTCTGAATCTCCTCCCGAACCTCTTGAATCATCAACTTCTGGTTCATGCCTACGGGGAGTTTTTTCCAAACTCTGAATCCGGAATTGCAGCACCGGCCATATTTTGAGTCTAAGTACTCTATGACAAAGTCAAAAAGGAATTCACCAAGTTCTTTGATGTCCCCAAAACTACTGAACACACAGAATTTTGTCATCATGGTGTCGGCAATAGTTTCCAGATCAAGAAGCAAGGGACTGATGAAAAGACCTTCCATTATGTTCCCCTTATTGTGCAGAGTCACATCTCCAAACAATAGTTCAGCATTCAATATAACTTCATTTGCATGGGTGAGCTTGCCTCCACTCAATCTTTCCCCACCAGCATCGATGCTATGCAATATCCTCAATACATTATTGAAAAGAGCAGTAATTATCTCACCGCCAGTCTTATTTTTGTCCACTGAAGTGGCAGAGTCTACACTATCAGTATCATGACCCATTTGCAACTGATCATCAGAGTAATCCGTTGAGTGAGGGTAGACGGACCTATTCCCTGTATCAGAAGCAATACAAAGATAAGAATCACATTCAGAGGATCTTACTGATACGAAAGAAAACAAAATCACAATTAGCTTTAGGGGGTTAGCCGAGTACTCTACCACCTCAGTTTAGAAAAGGAAATTATGTATCTGTTTTGCATAGCAGTTTCTACTATTACTCAAGTACTCTACCTGAGCTATCATCCAGACTACTAGAAGAAAATGAAGCTTCAAGGACAGACCCAGGGCTCAAATGATGACCATCATGAAAGATTCCAACCGATCTATCTGTCTTTCCACGAACCTGAGGAGGACCAATAGAAGCTAAATGAGTCAAGAAATGTGTACCGAATCACCTTTCAATCAAGCAGAAGAAAAATCTGAAGTTGCGCACAATGCAGGCACATTAACAGAGATTGACAATAATTCGTACTTTTCCAAGAAGTTAACAGTGAGGATTAAATTAAAGGACAATACAAACAACTAATTTTGCATGACAAAGGCTATCGAGCGTTAACTACGATAGTTCCACAGAAACTTAAGCAGTAAAAGTTGGAGGAGAAGCAAATAACAAATTAAGAAGCATACAGCAAATAATTGATTAGAGATGTTAACTAGAGTACTACTGAGAATTTGCATCATCTAATATACTAATATTAAATCCTAGCTAACCCCTTCTTCTTCCTGACCTCTCTTTCTTCCTTTTATCCACTTTTTCTCCCTTATTGGTTTGGCATCTCCTTCATATAATTTTCCCTAATACATACACAAGAGATGGCAGCAAACATCCTACCAGCAACCAACTCATGACTGCAATTCCTTTGAAGTTGATAACTTTTTTCACTTGGTTAGAACTTATAGGTACCAAGAGAGTAACTTTTGTGAATATAACCAAGGAGTTGCCCCTGGTTCATCAATGCAATATGAAATTCTTGTGGATAGTATTTACAAGCAAAGGGTGAGGAAAGTAAATCAATGGTTCAAGCAGCACGCTCCGTTAAAATAGTTTTCCAAATCTAGGACCTAATCTCAATGCAATAGCACATATTCCCAAGACCTGAATTCTTCTTCATTCCACTCATCATCTAAATTACAAGTAAAATACATGGACAAGCTCCATACCATGTAGATGCCATAGTAACTACTGTTGCCAGACTAGAGTATGCATGCCCAATGGACTGTGATTTGATAAGCAGAATCCACAGGAAAACTCCTCATAACTACGAAAGAGTTGCCATTCTACTTCAAATTCCTGACACACTCTTATAACCCAAACTAGCCTGGTGGAAGCACTAAGGCTCCAGAAAGTTTAATGAAATCCATCAGGAAACAATGATGTATCCATTGTAGTATTCCCAGTTCAGGAATTTTTCTGTTTGTGTCCATAAGATATACAAAAAATCAACCAACTATATAAAACATGAATAAGTTCTTAAATTAAAAGAAAAACAAAAAAATTGGGACTTTAGTTTTGGAACCCATGTACCATACATTTATGATTACACGAACATCCAATCTCAATAGCAGGTGTGATAACTGTGTAGAAACTTCAATTTATACGAGAATATGAATATCTAAGCTTATCTGATATAGGTCACCACTACTTATTAAGCAATACTTTCCATATCTATAATATAGCATCCAGGAAATCAAACTCAAAAGTATTTCATGATGCATGGGACATGTATAAGGGATTAAACAGTGCTGCAATCTAAGATTACTAAAATATACAAACGCTTTCCACCATGAAAAGCACCCAACTATTATCCATGGGAGATCTTGCATGTAATGGCCAACTCTGATAAACAGTTATAATAGTCATACATCAGTAATATTAAGAATTGTAATCATACATCTAAAACGCAATTCTAAAAATGCATCATATTAGACAACTACTAGAATCGTAACATTATAAACAAGCCGCCAAACCAGTTACCAAATACAAATGCCTTGAAATTTAGAAACATTGTTCTCTCAAAGTAGTCAAATATATTGTAACTGGTTCCCAAACTCAAACAGTTACACTTCCGGCATATTTTTTTTCTTAAACGGTATAGGTAATGCCAAGTCAATAAACACAGTTGAATAAACAAAGAGACTTACAGGTGATGCTATATCTGTATTGGCCATGTGTCCGTCATGAGAAAGAGAACGATCTGCAGACAATGCAGATATTAGCTCTTGGAGAATCATAGCAGTGGACCTCTTGGATGAAGCACCTGTTGCCATGTCATCATCTTCTTGACAAGCAAGCTCCCTCAGTTTTTGTTCCAGAAGGGCACCAATATCATCTCCACTCAATGGTAATGGTTCTTGGGGAGGTGATTTTATGCAATTGTCTGTGCTTGTACCTTGCATTCCTGTAGGGTTTCCAGTCTTCTTCCTGATAGGGGAATTAAATGTGAATGAAATAACATCAGTGTCCTTATTGCCATTTGCTTTGTTACCTTCTCTCCGACCGGCTAATTTATTCCTAGCAGAAGTGTGGTCCATCAAATGAGCACCATTTCCTAACCCTTTGCCAGTTGACTTATCAAACTGATAATTCTCCTGTCTTGTGGAAGTTGAACTAACAAAACCACTACTTTCAACTTGGCCACTATCATTGATCATCCTCCTTTTCCGTATTGTTGTTCTTAGCTGTGATGGGTAGTCATCTTTTCCAGGAAAAGTTTTCCTCTCTGTGTCTAACTTAGAATCGTTCACTTTGGTAGGCACCCTCGGTTGGGCACGACCACTCAGATTCCGGTTCAAAGCAACAAAGTCTTTGGTCCCTCTAACAGCATTTGCAGCAGATGAGGCTCTTCTGCCATCAAGACTATTTAGTTTGGATCTGGGTGGAATCCTTTCTCTTCCTAGTGACATTCGATGCTGCATCTGAGACCTATTCTTTGAGGTAATAGAAGATGCTTCTCCATTTTGAGGCTTGCATGGTTGACTTGACGACAACCGCCATGAAGCTAGACCTTCTGGTGGCAGACACTTCCCTTCTGTTACAGGTTCACCAATGGATAGTATTTTCTTTTGACCATGAACTGATACAGGTTGGTTCCTAGATCCCTGGAAAATTGCATCATTTTCTTGCCCAAAGGAGGATATGGATGACTTTGGCCTTTGTTCTGCTACTAGCGAAGAGCTATTGACTAAGTTTGAAGCAAAGGATGGGAACGCAGGTTGTTGCTCCTCCACATTTGATGTTACGTCCACATCTACTATATTACCACAACTTTTGCAAGAAGTTTGGCCCATCATAGAGTTGACTGCACCACCATTATAACATGCTTGATTAGAAATCCCCGGTGATTGAACTGCTGTTCCATCTTCCACAACCTCATCCACTGAAGGATAATGAAAAGAACGCGAGTAAGTGAGAGCACCTTTTGCTCTATTCGTAGACTGAAGTCCAGGTTCCAAAATTCTAGTAGCAGCATCAATCAACCGAGAAGTTCGCGAAGAATTCTTCCCAGAGGAAATACTCGAACTCTTCAATGGAGAAGCAAGCTTTGGGTGATGCTTTCTGGAGCGCGACAAAACACTCTTAATTTGAAGTGCCTCGGCTCCAAACCTAGTCACTGCCCTCTTCTCATATGGTCCCATTTTCTGAAGCTTCTGAGGCCTCGATTCAGGCTTTGCATTTTCCGTCTCCAAATTCAATTCATCTCTATCATTACCACTATGGTTATTCACAAATGTCTTCTCTCCGCTGCCCCTACCATTAGCAAAGGAAGCTTTCTTGGGCTTCTCGTGTGTGGCGGGCATGGATTCAAGTCCCATAAGCCTAGCAACCAAACTTGGAGCTCGCAATTCATGCTTGTGCTCAAAATCAAAGCTACGATTCACATTTTTCTTCGCATTTGGGAAACCCCCACGGTTTTCATCAGCAATCTATCATTCAAACACACATACCCAGCATGCCCAACAAAAGAAAGAGAATTAAAACAACTAAACCCATCAAAACAAAGAAATAATCTAAATTTAGAAGCAATAAGCTGCATACCAAATGAAGCTTCGAAACCGGCATTTTCTCATCTCTAAACTTCTTGGAAACTTTGTTTGCTCGAGCTGTCAGATTAACACACAAAAATGTTGTCGAACTTTTTATATTTCGTTTTTTTAATTAAATATGAAATAAAGAGGAGAAATGTAGCTTTACGAGATGGAAAAGACTAACATGGAGGAAGCAATTTCTTGGAGAAGAGCTTCTTCTTGGCGAACCTGCGGTTCCAGTCGAAGAGCTGGAAGAAAATACCGACGCAACCACCCGGCCTATGCGTCTTCTTCTCTGCTATCGCCAAAGACGACGCCGTTGTCCCTGTAGAATCATTCATTTTTCTTCCCCGCCACCGATGAAAAACCTCAAAGCTCTTTTCTTTCAAAACCCAAAAACCTCACTTTCCACTCTCAAATAAATCTACCACACAAAAACCAAAATCCCATTTCACCAAAAAGGACTCACATTTCCTCCAAACCCAATTTTTGTTTCTGAAAATACCCAAAAACATACAAGAAAAATAAAGAAAACCCGCCGTCCGTACAATAATTACACTCCTTCAAGCGACTAAAGAACAAAACAGACGCACAGCAACAACTGTCCTGCAAGTGCAGAGCAACGAAAGCAACCTATCACCGTAAAACGACGAGGTCTGATGAAATATGTCCCCTTTTCGCATGCAATGGACCGAGAAAAGTAGCAGCTGAGAGAGAGTCTGAAGCGATTCAGACTGACGGTGAGGATGACGACGATGGAATAACGACCATGAAAAGCGCCGATCGAGAAAAAAGGGAATGCGCAAACGACACGTCGTATGTCGTCGCGAAGCCCTAGAGATCGAAACCAAGATGGAGAAGACTCCTCTCTGCCATTTTCGCAGTCTCGTCACTGCAAAAAGAGGCTTTGGCTTTTGTACAGTAGCGTGTGCGTAGGATAAGAGAAGAGAAGACGACAACACTGTACAGTGTACACCCCAAGCGCACTGCAGAGTGCACCGGGGGCGGTGGTCAACATAACAGAGAGCGCGAAATGTAAAATATTGTTAAGTTTTTGGGGTTGTAATAAAATAATGGTATTGTTTGGGGGTTTGGTGGAATAGAATAGGGACAAAATTGGAAATAAAGTATTGGAGATTTCGTTGGGTCTACATCTGTCTGCTATCTTGCACCCGTGTTTTCAACTTTTTAAAAAATCGATACTCTCTGCAAATGTTTACTCGCTGCCGGGAGAGATTCTCCCACTCTGTCCGCTCTAGATTATCCGGCAGCTCAACTTTTTATCTTATCGTATTAATATTATAAAATATGAGAAATATTAAATAGATTTTTTCAAAATAAAACTATTCATGCCTCCTTCACCGTTTTATGTTTTTGGTATATTATTTTATAACGTTGATATTGAAATTCTGTCAAAAATATGAGGATCAAAGGATTTATGGAGAATTTCGCTTTTAAAAATGTCTTCTTAACAATACTAAAAACATAAGATAACAGAAAATCTTTGAAAATTTTCACTTATTTCTCGTGTCAAAATACATAGTAGTTGATATTGGACTTATTGCGAGTAAACTATAACTTATTAAGTATCAAACAAGTTAAACAAGTTAAAGACCTACCTAACACATTTCTCGTGTATGTTCTCTCCTCCTCCCTTTGCCCTTTCTTCTCTCTTATTTTCTTCTTCTCTGCGTGTTTATCTATCTCTTATTCGTGCCGCTAATCTCTTCCCATTCCTCTTTCTCTCGCCCACCATTCAACAGAAGCATCATCGTGATCATCAGGAAAGAGATTAATAGTCAAAACTCCTCAACCCTTCTTAAGTTCTCAATTTTTACTCTCTACATCCCAATCTTATTTCTTGCGGTCACAAACTTTCTAGGTGTGAGAACTCAAATTTTCTTGAATATGTAGTTGAAATATGTGTTTGGTGTTGAAAGTAGAAGGTTCAAATTTTCTTAATTTTTGTTAGAACCATAAAACAACATGAACCAAATCAAAATCAACATTAATCAAATCGTACAATTTTAATAATAAATTTAAGCAAAATCGAATCAAATAAAACCATTGATATTTTTCGATTCTAATTCCGGTTTGAGGGCGGAATTGGCTCACACCCACCCCTAGCTTAGACTTCCCTCTTGTGCAAGGAATTGAACTATTGAAGGACTATTGGCATTCTAAAAGGACAAGCGCTTCAACAAAGAAAAGAAAAGAAAAAAGAGCGTTGTACACTTGCAAAAAACAACAATAAAAACAACCCAACCCTATATTTTCTTAAGGACCGACCGACCGTGACAACTTCATGCTTAAGAAGAAATACTTTAGCAATGAGTTGGGTGACTTTGCGATGACCTTCTAGACCCATGCCATTAATATAATATATGGATGTTGTGTGACCCAATAGATGAGCCTGAAGTGAGCCCACTAAAGAATGAGAAGATCAAGACCTTTAGAGTTTAGACCTACAAATCAGCCCAAGGAACTCAATAGACAGACCACTACTGCAGCAACGAAGAAGACTACTAATATTGAACGACAGCTCTTGACCTTAGATTGTCTATTGATAAGTAGAGACGAGAGTATAAACTAAAGTATGTTCCAACCACTCAAGACAGTTGGCGAGCCGGATTACTTTCTGGCATGGAGTTTGAAGGACAGGTATGCCCATACGTCAACTCTAGGCCCTGCATTGGCTATTGATAGGAAAAAAGTCTATGAAGAGACGTAAATTTTTCTCAAACTTAGCGCTCGCTAAAATGCTATCCAACCAGTCGTGGATGAGAATTGCACTTAGTACGTGTAGATTTAGGAAAACTTCCTCTCCTCTTATCAAATGGACAGTGAAGAAGTAGCTTATAGATTGTGCTTGCTTATTCGGCCCATTAAACGATAAGGCAATGATAGAATGAAGGGTTCAAGACTTTTGGAACTCACTCATGACCTATATAAAAGGTTGAGTACCCCTTATAAGTAGTTGAATTCAAGAGAAAAAAATTACACTAGCGTTGTTGTAAAGTGCTCTTGTAATCCACATCAAATGTATAGCATATTGCTACAGTTGCGTAGTCCCAATTTTAGAGTGAACCGCTCAAGTTGCTTTGTCCATAATCTAGCTTTACATCTCAAACCCACCAAAAATTGAACACATTGATTTTTGTTGACCTCCCAATTTTTTTGCGTTGATAATGCTCACCACAAATCTTCTACATTTAAAGCCCTTCCATCACCATGATCAACAACTAAACCGCAACCAAAATATCTTACAAAGCCTTATCTCATAATCAAGCCTAACCGAACGTCATTTATCTCATGTCTAAACTTGTGGATCTTTAGCTACCACACCTCAAACTCTCATGCGAAGAATTTTTCACCATTCATCTTCAACCATTTCCAGAGCTATTGAAAGCACTCCGGGAAGCCAAATACGAGCAGCTGGAAGAATAACAGTGTATTCATAAGGCTCATTTCTCCTTCAAGATATTTTGGGCCTACTTCTCACTCACTCATCATATTCGAAGAATACGAAGACTTTATTCCCTCGTTTTACAGCAATCCAACAATAAACGAGCTTAGTCATGCATTCGCACAAATAAGCCCCAAACAAAAATTTGCTTTAGTTTGAAAATAAAAAAGCTCTTCGCAATCTTTTCATCACTCTCTCTTCATCTGCAATAGGTGCTTTATTCAAATCAAGTTTTAACGAAACACTCAGGTACTGTTTATTTTTAACGAAAAACTACATTTTTACCTTTTTCTGATACTATTCACTACACCTTTATTTGTCATTTTTCATTAAAACTGAAGTTTTTTTTATTTTTCGTTAGTTTTTCTTTATTCAAATGCATAGCATGTGTAAGTGTTTTACTAAAAAACCAATAAGAAACCTTGCATGAGTTTATTAAAAGTTATACTCTTCTATTGCCAATTGATTTTGTGATCGAATCTTCCTTCGTATATTGTAACAAATTGATCAACAAAGTTATCCGATTATCTCAGACTTATCATGATTTATGTTCCCGATCACTTGGAATAATTATTGCACAAAATAATGAGAACCCAATTCATATAATGCATCTTGTACATACATGAAAAAAGTTGAGGTTCCTCCATAAAACCAACTGACTATATGGCAAGTAGTCTAATTACTTGTAGGCATATGCAAGATCCATTCTTTTCCTGATGTGAAATTGATACACTCAACACGCCCCTTCACATGTGGCGAATTTTCAAGCCTTGCACTGAGAATAACACAAATTGGATAACGTGGAGCACGTGGGATTGTTGTGCTTCACACTTGAAACAACTTACTCTGATACTATAAAAAGTTGAAGTTCTACTATAAAACTAACTCCCAATATAGAGAGTAGTCGAATTACTCATAAGTACATACTAGATCCATTTTTTCTCTTATGTGAAATTGATACTTTCAATAGTACACACAAATGTAAAATTCATTAAAATAAAAATGAACAAGCTAAAATAATGAAACACCAAACTCAAGTTCAAAGAAAATTTCAACGACTCCTCAAATACATAGATCAGACCTCTCTGAATTCTAACTTTTCACTAATACAGGTTCAGAGAAAAATTAAAAATACAAACCATACACATAAATCTATATGTGAGAACGAAGACCAAATAATGCAAGAAAAAAGGAAAAGAGCATGTGGAATAACCAAGAAAAACTATGGTTACCTTGTCTTTTAGCACTCCAAGCATGTGGCTTGAATTATGCAGATGCCCTTTGGTATGTCCCCTCTCTTCATGCACCTCTTTATCTCTTTGTCTTCAACCTTCAAAACCCCGGCGTACAGATGATGTCCAAACAAATTTACAAATCACATAAAAAGAATACCAAGAAACTAAATTAGACAATAAAAAAAAATGTCAATCACTCAATCCCATAAGCATATCATCATTTCTTCTTGGTCTTATCCTTGCCATTGGAAAAGATTGATCCAAAACCCAACATATTAGCTGCAGGAACATTTAGGACAGGACTAACTGGAGCAGCATTGCCCCCATATGATCCATATTGACCCTTTTTCAATGGAGGCTTTTGGTAATTGCTCATTGAAGCAGCAGAATATTGTGCGGAGGAGGAGGAGGGCTTTTTGGATGCAGATTTATTGGAATTCTGCTTCTGATTCTGACCCTCTTTTGAAAACAGCGATCGCTTCGCACTTGATGATGATGAAGAACCGGTTGAATTGCTTCTTGACAAAAGCGGCAAAGGACATAAGGTTCTGCCATATCCACTTCCACAGCTGCTACTCCTCTTGAAACTCCAGAAAGACTTTGAGTTCTGCTTCTCATCACCTTCACTACTACTACTCATCGTGTTCTTGCTCTCTTTCGCCGTAGTTATTTTTGTGTCACGTTGGTTAGTAGTCGGCGCTGTTGGCAATGGAGGCATGATTTGGTCCAACTGCTTTGGCTGATGGGAAGACTTTTTCTTGATCTCAGTCGGGATCATTTTCCCATCGGAGAAAAGTTCATCCGCGGAGGAGGACTCCTGCTCGAAGCTCTCACGGACGCAGAAGTCAAACTCCATGCTCGAGTTCCTAATTCTTGAGGATGAAGAATTGGATCTGAGAGGGTGGGTTTGCTGTTCCATAGATGCAACATCAGATTGGCAGAGATCATAGGAGAATGAAATCCTTGGACTCATGACGCCCATGCTGCTAGGGTTATCGGAACACAGCTCAACTACCATTTTCCCTTAAGATTAAAATTGAATTTAAAGAAAAGCCGAAGCCAGAAAATACTCAGACTACTGAAGAAGTTGGGATTAGATAAAACCAAGAAAACATGTCGCGTTAAAACATAAACATGGACAAGTCCAAGTCTAGATTTTATAGAACAGGGAATTCATATCCACACACAAAGATAAGTGGTGAACTTAAGATTGTTTTTTGTTGTTGATGGAACCAATGAAGAAGATGGAGTTGATTTGGACAACAGTGGAGAGAACTGAATGACCAAGTCGTTGAGAGTTTTGCAGTGTGTTGAGAGTTTTAGAGGGAGATAAAAGCAAGCAACCAAGGCAGGCAGGCAGGCAGGTCTCGGTGGAAGTAGTTGAGGGAGTGAAATTATTCTGCTGCTGTCCTCAAACAGGTAGGCCATGTTTTTAGCGACGTGGGAAAAGGGGTTCTAGCAAATTGTATGCTTGCCTAATTTTTCTCTTTTTCATTTTCAATTGTTTCTTAACGAAAAAAAAAGTCTTTCTTTTTTTCTTTTTCCAAATCTTAATTGATGAAATAATCATTTTTAAGATTGATATTAGAATGATATGTCGTCAAAACTAAATTTTGATTAGTTCAATAATTGAAATTTAATAGATAATCATTTTAGTCATTCTATTTTTTATAGTAATTTGGGCAAAATTTTGAAGGTCTATGTTTTAACCATCATGTTTAAGAAACCACTTTCAGTAGGGGGACAGTGAGCGTAAGTTATAAATTGAGGGATCAGAAATGATTACTTTTTTTTTTTTTTGGACAAACGATATATTTCTACACTAAAGGAAGAGTGAGAGAGCGGGCTTAGCTTCATAATGAGTCAGTCATAATAATGTGGTTCAAATCCATTTTTGGCAAGAATCAACCTATGACCTCTCACTTACAAGTAAAGAGGAATACTACTAAACTGTTATACAGAATAGTAAAGAATAGAACGAAAGGATAAATGAAATATAACCATAAAAGTTGTTTAAATAGTGACACAACCTTATAACAACAAAAAGAATTAAAATAGGAGAGTATGAAAATACACAAAATATTTAAAATATGTTTTTGACCTAAAAACGATCTCAAACACTTGAAATCCTTCTTTGGTCATAGTAAAGCAACGAGTTTCATTCTCTTTACGGAAAGATATCCTCGACAGAAAGTGAACTGCAAAAACTCCGAAAACATTATTTATGCCGGAATTTGTCAATCTGAGCTACACTTCTAGTACTCCTACATCAAATACGTTAGTAAAATATAAGACGCAAAAAACATCGTTTACGCAAAGATGTGCACAATGCATACGCTGAAAAAGTTCTTATTTATCTGTATAATTAAAAAATATATGAAAAACAAAGGGGCAAAAATACTTCACAAGAACATGTATATATGTGTATAATACTTGAACTTACTATCACTAACTAGAAGTCTAGAATGAGTATGTACATTCCAAAGCATTGTAATTTGTAAAGGTTTTCCGTGATATTAAGCTTATGTACGCATGCACGTAAAGTTCAAGAGCAGGTATAACCAAAAGCAATTTTTATGGGCATGCAGGGCATCTAACTTCTCTACTTCCTCTTATGCTATCACGATAGGAAATCGACTTGTGAACCTAATCTAAAGCAGAAAAGATAATAATTGGATTTGTCACATGCAATTATATTCCAATCATGCATGTGGCTTACGGCCTACTTTAATTCTTCATTACTTTCCCTTTTAACGTATTTTGAGCAAGCAACTAACACTACAACATATTTGAGCCTTCAAGTTCTTTCATAATGCTTTTTTTTTTCGGTCAACTTCTGAAGACACATAACCAACCATTATCCGCTGTACAGAAACTAAAACTATGTTCGTGTACATTGTCTAAAAGCAGGTCGTTTGACAAGGTTTGAATTGGGTCTCAACTTGTTTTTGTCCAAATTATTGTGTTTACTATAGTCTTGATCTTGCGCTTGACAGATGTAACATTGGTTGCACATGCACATGGGCGAATCTTATTAAGGGCGAGAGAGGGCACGTGCCCTCCCTCAAGTTTGTGGCAGGGAAAAAAAAAGGGTCTTGATAAGAATTTAGGCTCTGCTTAAATAGTAAATTTATGTCGCTTGATATGACGTCGAATCGGACTACAACGAATAATAATCAACTCACCACCACAACCAACTCTATCACTTGCTTTTCATCAAAATCAGTAGGCAGATATAACACAAAAAATATTAGTTGCATAGTTGGTTATGGTAGCTCACGGCGACGAAGAAGAAACATGAGACAAGTCCATATGTTTAAAGAGAAACCACGCCGTTTTTAAATTTAGAGTGAGTTTTTTTTTCTTAAAATGATAAAAAAGCCCATTAACCCTCTCTTCTCTCATAGGACTTACAAATTTTACCTCCCATCACTATACATATATGATTTATTTCTTAGTTCAATATAACAATATTGACCTAAGATATGGTTAAACTAGAACAAAGGGTGAGAATGTATGCTAAGCACACAATATGTATGGATTTGATCATTTGACTCCACAAATAATGTTGCGTGCGCTGTTTTTGGAATTCCACGAGAACTTATATTATTTACCACTACTTAATTATGCCCCCAATAAATTAATTTTCTAAATTTATTCCTACACGTGTGATTCATTTTATCTCACGTAAGGGAACATATTGAAGAATAAGGATCCCAGTTAGAGGAGAACCGCATTTGGATGGCTTATGGTACCCCGGTGTCCCGTCTTTCTAAAATCTTTGACGGATTGCAGTGATGGTCCCCCATCTTCATTAGTCTTGCTGCTGGGCTCTGAAGAAACTGCATCCGAAGTCAAGTAGTATAATTAATAATTATATTAGTTCAAACCTAGAAAACAATATAATTAAAGAATAATATAGACACCAAAGGAAGAATATAGAGTCGAGGTCAAATTTCTCAAGCAAGAAAATTCAGATTCATATCTGAAACTTTCTTCGTACTATCATACAGCACCACCACCACTGCGTTAATATTATCATACTCAAGCCCTTATCTTTCTCTTATACAGAATTCACATTGTAGATAGTAGCATTTTAAAAAATATGCAGCCAATCCCACGTGCTGTTATATACCACATCAACTAGTTTTCATAAACAATTACAAACTCATTCTTTAATTAAAACTGTTAATTGGTTTAAAAGTTTAAAGCCTATAATTTATCCGTATTTGTGAGTGTGAAATGATTTCCGCATACCATTTTATCTCGATGTGCATACTTATATTTATTTATTTTGCATGTCTGATATTAAATTCAAGGATAAGGAATCGTGCATTTCTTAGTTACATGATTATCAAAAGAACATTTCTTTATCTTCTCACAATGATACTCCTACACACAAGTTGGTCGGTTGTTTTCTATGAAAAAATCTTGGGTCCTTGCATCATGTTCTTGGCATTGAGGCTACTTGTAACTCTTCTGCTCTTCATCTCAATTCGAAAAAAGTACAATTTAATACCTTCCCACTCGCTTGTTTGTTGTAAACCACTTAAAGCTGTCGAGTAGTTATCCAACTATTACCAGATATGTAAACGATCGAACGTATAAACAACGAAATATTCATGTTAGCAATCAAAATGTTAAATGATTTCTAATTATGTAATTATTAGAGGAAATGTGCACCTTATAGACCCAACGATTCAAATCATAAGACTGCGTTATAATGTAAACTCAAACAAATCGTTAGCGCTATATTCATTTATATATGAATTTGTTAGCTCTTGGGCACATAAATAATAAATGATCTACGCCCAATACATTGCGTAATTTGCTTGTGTTTTGGTGCCTATATCATTGCATTCGTGTTCAACAAGGATGTCGTATCTTAAAATTTATATTTAAAAAACAATTGAATGATAGAATGAAATAAATGCCTTCCTCTGTAACTTACTACTTTCTAAATTTAAACTTCTTTTATATAAAGTAATAATATCGTTTGCAATCAAAGAGTGACCGAGCTTCATACACAAAAGATTACATTCCAAGAACCAAAATCGCAAATAGGCCGATATTCATTACAGCTGTACAGCACTATAAACCAATGAGCCTTTTTTTTTTTTTTTTTTTTTGGTGGAACGCAGCTGTGCAAGGAACCCTTAACTTGTAGGGCAGCCCAAAGAGGACGGTGACAAGAACCCTTAGGTAGGGTATACAATGCAAATTATTGTTGCATTTTTGGGTTGCGATGTAATTTGCTGCTTCTTTTAGCGTTTGCTCACATGACAAGTGGCTAAAACTGGTAACTAAAGCAAAGATAAACAAATAATTAAAGCCAATTTCTCACTTGTTACAATGAAAAGGCATTTTTCCTCCTCTTCTTTTTTTCTTGATGTTTCTTGGTTGAATAACAAAGCAACTGAAAAGTATGCAAATGGTGGTTGAGCAATTCACTTCACTGACCCTACCTTTGCTGCTGGACCATGAACCGACAAAGAAATGATAAGAATTCGGATTTGTGTTTCTTTTTTATGCACGGAAGCATATCGTTTGTATCAGAGTTTTGATCGTTAATTAGAAAAAAGAAAAAATTTGACATTCTCATTATTCAATGCATATCATACACCGGAACATGATGAAATTTTGTTTATTTGTTTACATGTTCTTATTTCGTACAAAGAGGGAAGATTGTGGAAACTTTTTTCCTATGTAATGGAAGATTATAATGTTGTAATCATCGAGGTTATATGCTTAACAGTGAGGATTGTTCCTAAACTAAAACCGATTTGTGTTTTGGTCTTGGGTATTAAAAATAGGTCTGGTGGTCAATCTAAGTTATAATTTTGGTGCTCTCCGTTTGTTCTACTAAATTTTTCGACAAAAATGACCACGTGACATGCATGTGATATACTTTTATGGGATAGAGAGGAATTTTAACTGACATAACAACCCACCCCTACTCAGCACCTCCTGTACTGCACTCTTCATTTCTCTGTGAAAACTTCTGTGTTAACAGTCACGGAATTTGAATAGTTCTATCCATTCCGTCCATCTCATCCTGGAAGACACACATAACGGGTCACAAGTTCTTCGATTGCTTTTTGAATTCGAGAAATCTCTAAACAGAGGTGCACATGGAAAAGCTCAGACTAGCTAATAATACAATCACAAAAGCACATACACAAGAAAACACACAACGTGATCTTTCTTTTGTCTAAATATATAATCCAAGACATATTCGTTCAACTCATATTTTGTGTTTGTCTCTGTGTATGATTGAATCAGTCTTCTTTTCATTCTATTTCCTTGTTCTCCTCTGCAAATTTCTTTTCTTCTTGGTGGAATAGTTGTATGTGTTCCGAGAACCTGTAACAAGAAATGGGCAATCAACTGCTTATGACTTC